TATGCAATTGACAAAAGAATTAAGGCTCGTCGCTGAGGGTGAAGTACAGTGTACAGTACTGCATTCATACAGTGAAGACTAGCTGTGAATGTTGAAACCGCTGTTGTTGCTGTTATCGTATTGTGAGGTTTCGAGTTCAAGCACAGAAGACCCAGATTCATGTTTTTTGAACCACCGAAACCACTGAATAATGAATGAGCAGCAACGAATAACGAATATCAAGGCATAACAAGTTTCCCGAGCTTCTGCTTTGCTCGCGCCTATCGATAGGGTCCAGATTTCAGAGATATGACAAAGATTTGATGTTTAGCCGCTGCATCTTCAGACTGAAAAGTCACAACTGCAATGGTTTCGACACTTGCTACGAATGCCTTCAAAAAGGAAGGCGAAGCAACTGCTAATTATTGAACCTGCCTTCCGGAGGAAAGTGCCTCATCGAGCATTACTCCAGACTCCGATTATATTCTGCTAATGCTTAGACACCCTCAAGGAATTTGGAGAGTTGGCGATACTGCCTGATGCTACTCCCTCCGCTTTCCAAAGCAATGAACGTTCGTTGCACCTGACTGACCGGCTGACGTAAGATTTCACGACTATTCAAGCAAATTAGCCGTCTAGCAGAAGGACCGATTGAATGTGAGCTCGAACGGATACAGCTAGCCAATCACTGACGAAAGCGTGGCAAAATATTTTCGCCATTCCTCCGACTCCTTGATGAAACTGTGCTGATTCAGGTGTAGATTGAACTAAAAACCGTAAGTGCAGATCGATGCCTTTAGTCAAAAGGGGACAGAAAGGAATAGAGATCTCGCCTCCAAAACGATCGCCAGCTCAACTCGAAATAACGAAGCCATACAAAATAATCCTTTTCTGCCGCTGATACAGAGTTCTGTCACTTCCACGACAAGGTTCATGACTAAATCTTACTTTGAGGAGTCTCGCTTCGACAGGGATTCACGAAACTGTTTACTTCGTGCTTTGAAAGATTCAGCGCTGACGTCTGGCATTTGTGCTTCTTGAGTTAAGTTAAACATAAATCACCTTGCATGAATGCCAACTAGAGAGCATTGAGAGAAAACATTAATTTTACCAGGTTTGCAGAGTCATTCATTGTAACGCTGAATTCAGCATGTTGTTCAATGATTCATGGAGGAAAGTGAGAATTCTTAGAAGCAATTTCTCTCATTTCCATAAATAAAAAATTGCTTTCCAAGGCAGTGGACGATGCCACTGCGTGAGGTCTAAATTTACGAAAAATGAGATATGGCCACCAGCTGAGGCATAAGCTGGGAACGTGAGTAGCAAACATTCACGAGCACTGATATTGCAGGGCTGTTAAGGTCCTGTGAATTAATTACGCTATTATACCGTTGTTAGAAAGCTTACCTGAATGAATGGATGTAAGCGCAGAGAAACGTGCCTCATAAACATAGGTTATACAGATGACCCTGCACTTATTGTAATAATGGTGCAAACTGACAGTACAACCACTAGTGCTAATCGTGAATGATCCAAGATGCATCTCACATCATTTTTTTCGCTACGGCCACCTCATGCTCATTGCCAACGATGTTTCAGTAACTCTCTGTTCTCACATGTTACCTCCTAAATATGACAATTTGCTTGCAATCTGGCTATAATACGTTTCAGTTAAACAACGTTAGCCATCCTCAGCGAAAGCATGTTTACATGTTATTAAATACAGTAATTGTTTGTCTGAGGATGGTTAATGTAGTCTCACGGAAACGTCGACAGTTATGATGAAGAATTCTGTCTCTCCGCTGTTTTGTATCTATAATTATTGAAGCGGTGATTATTCGAGGATGTTCCGAACCAGTGGATAAAAGGCACAAAAACAAGGGAAAAAATTTATTCCCGCCGGTGTTTCGAAGTCATGGTTCTTAGCATCAGGACACGAAATGATTTTGTGTTTTTTGCATTAAATCGGAAAATTAGCTATCTGGCTCTGTTCAAGTCACTTTGTAAAATATTTACGGTCCAAAACGTCGTTTATATAATATGTTTAATAACATTCGTATATGGAATAAATTATTAAAAGACCTTTGGAATGAAAGTTTTGCATCTGCGTACAGAATTCAAATGATATACTTAAATCTGTAGTGAATAAAAGTTGATACAGGTCACAATCCATTCATGTTGACGATGAGACAGTGTACGAATTTTGGCAACGTTTGTTTTGGAGCATATTCGTGCCATGTAAATTTTCGTTTTACTTATTTGCTTATGTCTTACACTCGCTGACGTCTCCATCTTCCGTTAATCGATCCAATCAGGTGTCAGTTTCTGTTTCAAGGGCAGGCGGTGTAATAAGACACTTGACCATGTGATCATTTCTTATGGGTAGTTGGAAGAAGCGGCTAAATCGATGACCTTCGTACAGGTCTACGCGCCCAATTTGGAAGGAGAATATGAGACCTTCCTTGAGGAAGTGCAGTGTGCTCTGT